TTCCGGGGCTCAGGATGAGTTCCGGTTTGTCACCTAGGAGCCCAAAATCTGCCCGGCCCGAAAGCGGTCCGGGTCACGAAAAGCGTCACACTTTCATCACGCCCAACGCGCGCGCGCGTCGTGCCGTTCTTCTCCTTCGGTAGCGATGTCTCACTTCAAACAATACCGAGCGCGGCGGTCCAGATCCAGTGAGGCACTTGGCCGATGACTTGGGGCTCTGGGCCGTTCTGAGGTTTTGCTATATAAGGGCGGCTCTCGACGCGGATAACAGGGCTCACTATTCGGGCCCCAGTTTGCACTTGCACTTGGGGCCAGCTTGAGCTTGATTGCCGGTGGGATCTATCCACCGCCGAAGGTCGGCTGGCAATATGCCAACTGCTGATTGAAGATGGTGCCATGTTCATGGCCGGGAACTTGACATTCGGTGCTCCTGTAGAGCGTATAAAATACTCGACCTGTGAAACATTGTCCATCCACTAGGACCCGCGCGTGAGCTGAGGGCGCGCGAAGCGAGCCCGAGGTGAACGCGGGACAAAACGGAGATAAGTTATCGGCGCCTATGAGTATCTTCACTAACGGCGATAGACCTGTTGAGGGAGGAAGATCGCTCGATTAAGTGCGCCTGGTGTCGCAGACATATGTGGAAGTACAGGAAATTGGTCGGACGGTGTTACATCGGGCATGCGCTAGTGAATAACGATATCTGAAGACAAAGCGTACGTCGTAACATGTACATCGTTCACAATTTGAAGGAAGTTGAGCCCCGAAAATGCCCCGGAGGGGCTGTGGCAGTAGAGCGATACGACGATGACCGTCCAGATGCTGTTGTACGCACGAGTGGATGGCTTCTCGATGTGACCGGTGACGTGTCACGGATCGCAAGAGACAAAGGCCCTTCTCGGCTGCTCGCTCAGCTGTGCCTTGCGCGCGCCCGGAGTTCGCTTCTGAAACTCTGCCGGACTGCGTCTAGAGAGATGCGAACTTTGAAGGAACAGGAAGTGTCGTATTTTTTCAGGAAGATCCGGCTTTTCAATAATTTTGAGCTCAACGAGCGTCATCCCAGCGCGATTCTCCTTTTGCTCGTCTGCGGGACCTACACCGGAGCTTCTTGGAATCATGTGAGAGAATCAACCTTGTCGCCCTTGCACGACGACGACTGTTGCAGGGGCTGGAGAAGTGTTTTGACCCCCGACGGTCGCGCACATGTAGCAGCATGCAACGCCTTGTCAGTCGTTGAACACATACTGAACGCCACTGACGACCACAGACAGCCCAACTGGTATCTTCTGCGTCGTATCACTTACGACGTGTGGAGGCAGCTTGAACGTGATTTTACCCTGCCAGACGGTGCCAGAACGAGGATGCCCTCTCCCGAGTTTGTGAGCGTTCTGCGATTAGCGGGCCTTGATGAATGGCTTGAGCCAGAAAGCGGGTTCGAGTCCTCGTCGCGCAATGGGCCACATAAACGGTTTCTCGACGACCGACTCAGTGGTCGCAGCTGTCTCGAGATCCTAAGACTCCTCGCAAAGAACGTCAACTTTGCAGCATACCGTGCACAACAAATACCGGCATTTCCGTTCATGCGGCCATCATCGCCAGATTCATCTACTTCTGCTCAGGAAATCGATCCATCGAGTTCTCCGCATACTTCACCACTCGGCCTTCGCAGCGTCAAGCAAGCACGCCGTGATCCGCCACCTGTAATCCCGAATGCTCACAAGCCTGGTATCTTCTCGACGTATACGCAGGATGTGGAGGTGGTACTTTCTGGCATTACCATCAGTCGTGCAGCCGATGGGGACGGAAAGGGGCAAGAGAGCAGATACAATCGAACTGCCGTAGACGCTTCGACAGCGCCCTCCACACCCCCACGATCCGGGCGCGATCACACCAGCGATCGAACGAATGAGGCCCTTCGTGAACCGGGCAGACAGGCCGAAAGGGGCGAAGACAACGTCCCTCTTCCTCTTACGCCGGTATTGACGGATGTGGTCGTACACGGCGACCGCGACGCAATCGAACTTGGACCGGACTGGGCGTTATCGGCGTCGACGAGTCACCCAGATAAAACTAAGATTTAGGGAGAGGTGCATGTAGTGGTAGAAGGATATGGAAATCACGGGGATTAGACGTCGCATAAAAGGCTCACGGTCCTTCGCCAGTTGATAGCGATTCCTTGCATGTGTATCATGTCTAGTAAAATTTGGCATAACCATAGATTCCCTACGTTTGAGCGCACATATGGTCGAAAGGACAAAGACACGTAGAAAGAGCGACTTATACAAGCACCTAACATCGGATCAGCCAATGCACATCTACGATAAGAACAAGGCAACACTCGTACCCGGTACACCTCACGCACTCCCACTCCCACTCGCCACCACCTCCCCATCCTCACTACAAGCCGCCCCAAGCGCCTCCCTCACATCCTCAACCTCCGCAACGTGCCCACCAGCCTCCCTCCCAACAACCGCAACGAACGCCCCATACTCCTCGACGACCCTATCCTTCACATGGCCCAACAACACGCCCACCGTCCGGCTATCGGGCACATAAAGCCGCAGCCGCGCTGCTCCGGCACGGAGATCGCGCGCTATGGCGTCGAGAGAGGCGTGCGCGGCGTCTTGGGCGGCTGATGGTGGCGGGCGTGGGATTGATGATGCGGATGAGAGGAAGGATTGGAGGGGCGCGATTGCGGGGTGGGCTAGGAGGGCTATCGCGTCTTCGACGGCGAGCTTGAGATCTGCGTCGATAGCCTGTAACATAATTGTGTCAGTCAAGCCATTCGGAGGGTGCAAGGAGTGTAAATATACGCACATGTTTCGCATCAACGCCCTCCCCCGGCCTCGCGAACCCAAGGCTATCCTGCACACCCAACGGCAACATCCCTCCCGCTCTCCCAAGTAGATTCGAGAACGTCTCCGCGAGTCCGCCCTCATTGTTGGTGGGCGTTACAGTTCCATACGACATCGTCGGCGGTAACGAGGCCGAGACCGAGCGTGAGAGCGGTGGCGCGGTAGACGAGGAAGAAGCTGATGCAGGGATGGCGCCGAGCCCGAGGTCGAGACCGCGTGCGATCTCTTTGAGGATGAGGAGATGGCGCGCGCGGAAGAGGGCGCCGTCGAGTGGAAGGAGGCGGGAGGCGGCTGGGGTGAGGGAGGCGCGTGTGAGCGCGAGCGCTTCGGATGCGAGGTCGGCGAAGATCGCTGGCTGGGGTATATCATCAGTCTTGTATGATCAGGCAGAGACGGGGCATACTGTACCTGCACGAACTCGCCCAGTTGACTGAGGACCCATACAGCGCGACCGAGTGTAGGATACCACGTCTCGCGGCGCTCAAGTTTGGCGCCCGCGAAGACGCGCGCGCCCAAATCCTTCTCACGCGGCGGCACGGAGTTGTCCTGACGATCCTTGTCTGGATCTCTACGTTAGCTATATACTTTTTTTCGTAACGTGTTGAGTACATACCGAGAAGTATAGCAGGATATGCGAGGTCGCTATCTTTCGGTACAAAGCCGCGGATCTCACTCTGGATGGCCGCTTGTGCGCGGAAGAATAGCCTTGTCTGAGCGTCTTGCAGAACGGCTGCGAGTAGCGCCGCGACTGGTGGTGCACCGAGACCCTTGTCCTTCTTGCTTTTTGTACCGTCTATAGAGGTATTCAGCTTCAGTACATGCGCGGCTCGGTATGAGGGGGCTTACCTGTATCGGGTATACTGAGCTCCTCTGAGTCCTCATCCGAATCGGACTCATCAGTGCCCGGTGCCGGCGCATCGAGCACCATGAGCGCTCTGAGTACAGCACAGACCTCGCCCAGTGCGGAAAGCCGGCTTTCGTGTAGAATGCGTGGTCGTAGGTCGTCGTACAGATGATCGCATAGACCCTCGAGATATGTACTATGACAAGACGTCAGGATGCTGGTTTGGTCGACGGGTTGACAAACGGGGGGACGTACTACATCGCGGCGCGCCCTGCCTTTCCTTTGAAGAACGCGCCGAAGAGCTCCCACTCGTCGGCGCACACCTCGCGTAACAGTCCACATCCTGAACGTGCTAGTGAGACGAGCTCGGCGCGTGTGGGGTCGAGGCCACGAAGTTCTGCTTGTAGTCTGTATAGCGACGGACGTCAGTCTGAAATCAAAGTAGTTGAAGGGCGGCAGGCGTGGCTGACCGAGGCACCAAGAGCGCTCGTCTGGCAGAGAAGTATGCGGCATGGCATTCGTCGAGAAGACTGCCAAGGGTTGCAGGGTGCTGGGCGGCTCGTCTCTGACGGTCGCATCAGCGTATAGCATGCGGTAACGAGCGCGACGGCAATACTTCGAGCTCTCCCAGCAATGGAGATAGAGGACCAGCGACGGATCGGAAGCGAGTGTACAGTAGATGATGTGTAGCAGTTGCGGACACGTCCTAACTTCATCAATCAGCCCGTATTCAGTACGATGCGGGAGTGTTTATACCTTCTCGCTCAAGCGCTTGCTCACGTCTGCGTTCAGTGCACGCAAACTCCCGACGAAGTACATGCGGATCAACGTCATTGCTCGAACCAGACACTGTTCGAAGCGCAGCAAGTACAGTTCTGCTTCCCTATATATATAGTTAGTGAGAGTTCAAACATGATGGATAACGGGAGCTCGTACTTATATTGTCTGTGTTCGCGCAAGAACCCAATACACGCGTCGACGCGCTCGACCATGTCCAAGAAGTCGCCACGCATGACGAGACTCTCGCCTGGTGCATTCAACATCCGTGTAGCACCCTCCAGCTCTGCGAACACCTCCATTCTCCCAGCGATCTCTTCCTCCGCCCGTACCAACTCCTCTCGCTCGCCAAGTAAACGCGCGCACGCGTCTTGGAGACTCCGTCCACCCTCCTCCACGCTTCTCCAGTCCGCCAGCATCGCGTCGACTTCCGCTTGTACGGCCGAGGTCAACGTCAGGAGCGAAGTACATGTGTCCAGATGGTCGGATAGCGAAGCGAGATGTGCGCGGAAGTGGGCTTCCTGGGAATGTGTAGCGGCGCGATCGACGAGGGCGAGCCAGTCGAAGAAAGCTTGAGGTGTAGCGATAGGTTGTGCTGGATGCAACGCGTGTGGTTTCCCAACGGGTGTGGCTGCTCGGGCGTTCATCGAGGCCAAACTCTTCGACGATAGTAATGGCGAGCCCTTAGCCAGCGGCGTTCCGGGCCGTGTACTCCCGCCCTCAGACGCGGGATATGCCTGGGACACACGCACAGGGCGCGTAGCACGTTCTTTGATAGCTTCGACGCTCTGTGTGGCGATTTCTGGTAGAGGACATCGCGCGTCCCAGTCCTCCATGCTCACTCCCGGCTTCGCGGGGACCTGAGCCGACGTTGCGGCTGTGCTCAGTGGTGGGCGCGTTGCGCGACGTGTTGTCGGCGAGGCATTCGAGAATGGGTTTGAGGGTGGTGCGAATACTGGGGAGGATAGCGGGGAGTATGGCATATGGAACGCCATCGTGGACGTAGAGTTCAAGATGTGGCGCGAGGCGCGCGACGCGACTTGCCTCTCGACCACGACGACCGTTCACCCCAATATACACAATGACCACCCGTTTTTCTCTATCATCGAGATCCCGCAAGAATACATACCTGCGAGCCCAACTACGCAAGTTTATGGGACGACGCGTGCCCAGGAGGCAGTATTGCTCAAGTTCAACCATCCGGGCGAATCCCAGGCTCATCGCATTCCCTTCGCCCGCCTTCGCCCTCGAACTCGGATTAGAAACTAACTCTACTCATTATCCTCTTTACCATCCTCAGAAAACGGTAGATGTGTATCCTCGCGTAGAGGCATGACCCGTTATAGGCTGCTGTATCACCTGCAATCATTGCGCGCACCCGCACAAGTGAGTTCCACGATTCACTGGTCGTGTTCATACGAAAGCTGAAAGAACGCGTGCACCAGGACTCCTCTGACAAGTCTCACAGGGATGCGACCTCCCCGCCGCATATGGTAGTGTATTGCCTATAGCGTTTCCGTATGGAAGACCATCCTGATCGATGTTCTTCCAGGTGGACGCGCACACGTGGGTATGAGGCTCCCAAGTCGGCGCGCTGGGCACAATTGCCTGCAACGACCGGAGATCACATCGGCTTCCAATTCTGTTCGGTCTTCCTCTACGTATGACTCTGTCCCGACAATCGCACGCACAGTGGAGGGCACGGCTTTTCTTCCGCGAGCTCGCCTCGTTTCCTACCCTCACCCACCCTTTCAATCTACGGATGTCTGCATTCAGGACACCGTCGCCCGATAACCCTACCAACATCATCTGGTCGACCTACCTGGATGCCGCTCAAGATGACGACCAGGCGCGACCGAAGAATTGGGAAGGAAATACCGCGGGAATCTTGACCTTCGTAAGTGGCACTGCCACTAGATCAGAATCACGCGCTCACTCGCAGCACTGTAGACTGGTTTGTTCGCTGCGACCGTCGCCGCGTTTACGCTCGAAAGTTACAAGCAACTATCGCCCGACACCGGTGAACAATCTGTCGCG